TGTCACAAGTACAATTTTTAGGTTTGACTTTAAATATACTTTTGGGTAAATTTGAAAAGTTAGAGATTCCTCTCCATTTCAAACAACAGTAAGCTTCTCTTGTCTCACTGGATAACAGTTATTTAATAACTCATGTAATAGCACTGTAAGTAGAGTTTACTTTAAATGTTTATTAGTTTACTTGCTTGCCTATATTGTTGAAAACATCTTTGCTATACTGAGAATGTTTTATAGCTGATTGACTTGCTACCAGTTACATTTTCAAGTGATGGTTCTCTTCTTGATGGTTTTGGGAAATTTAGAGAGCTGGCTGACAAGGTGTCCATGTGTGAGATTCCTACTACTGCACTGCTCTGATTTTCTAAAGATCAGACTTGTCGCTCTGCAGGAGCTTAATATTTGACCTTGGTAGGGGAGAAATATTCCTTTTCATCCATAACACTGTGGGCGGGCTGGTGCTGCATGAAAATTATAGAACCAAAAGACTGGCATATTCAGTATCGAGTGTTTGAAGTATAAAATGTTCTCGTCGTATGCAGTAGAAGAGAATTATGTTATGATCAAATGAAGAATATAAGTAAAGAAAGTTACTTAATCTACATTAAATGATTAAGACATTTAAACGATTGGTGTTTAAAGTACACCTGTCATAAGAAAGCTGTAGATGACCTCCTCCTAAATACTTCTAGTTGCCCGGCTTTCTTGTTTTAATATTTTTGAATCCCAGACACAAAATAAATATAAGTGAGTTGTCAGGAATGACATGAATAACTTGTGTATGAATGTAGGGAATGAGTATCAAGCAGTTGGCACATTCCTTATCTATAAACTTGTTTTTGGTCAGCAATTCAGAAACTGTTGAAGACAAAGCATCAGCATGACAGCCAGAGAACTAGCATTCACAAAAATAGGGGTCAGCAATAACTGCCTCCATTATTTTTTAATGACAGTGTACTTTAAAGTACACCTTTCTGTCAGCCCCCCAACCAAGCCCCCTCCCTCGCTACCCAAACAAAATTAGCTGCTAAAGTCAACTAAAAATTTTATTACAAAAAAATGTACAAAAATCACACCTAGGTCCTGGATTCTGACAGGTGAAATCACCACTTCTCCTCCTCATTGCTGCCTCTGAGTGCCAAGATATCCCAGGAGGTAGCAGTGAGGCTCAGTGACATCACCCATGCCTCCCGGAGATGTTGGAATCTGGGAGTGAGGCGAGCATGTGCGTTTTTTATGCTTTATTTTTAAGCCTATTTTGTTTGGGCAGCAGGAGGCTGAGAAGAAAGTGGACCTTCTGTTTTCCAAGTATTAACATGTGTCTCATATATACTGCATAAAAACTGATTACATTAAAATAATTGTTTTGCCCAGTCTTATTATAAGTCTTAGTTTTTCTGGGAAAGGTTAGAAAAGAGCAGCTCCCATAGACCTAGGCCATTCAGCCATTTTCGGTCAAATCATGTCTGGGTTTATCCTGCAGACACTGACAGCCAATGATTGTCCAGGAAGAATAAGTTGAAGACCATTATTATTTTCTCCCTTTTAAAGGTGACCCAAAGATGTCTGCTTTGTGACCCTTTGTTTCATAAGCTGAAAACAAACACTAGCATGATATAGTCATACAGACTCAATCAAAGTGCCCTCTAATGGTTGTCTAGAAATTGATTGCGCACCAGTACATACACGTACTAGACCTAATCAAATATTTTAGATTTGACCATACATATTTAAAGCTAAATCGGATACATATGTTCGGCATCAGAACTATTTCCCATTTATAAAATTTCCAAGTGATTTTTCTATCACATCTGAATAAAATGTCTTGGCGATTGGATATCTAAGGAAGTATTTTCAACTCTCATGTGGGGCTCAACAGATTAGACCTAAAGGGATATTATCTTTTGTCATGATTCCATATTGAGTACCCCAACACTGGTTGGGTTACTATAGGCCAGTGTATCAACTCCTATAGTATGTATTTTATTATAGAATTTGTGGCCAGACTTAAAAAATGTGTTTCACTCAATGTTTCCATGCAGCTCGACAGACCTCAAGCAGTTTTGCAATGAGAATTGAGGTACAATTACAATGGTCATAGCTAATAGAGACCTATCTATAAAGAATTAAGCTAGAAGTGCATATAATTAATATTAACTTAAAGCAGTGTATATTTATGCAGTCAGTCTTGTAATTTATTTCACTTTGCAGATATTTGTCTTTGACATTAGAAAATATATAATTTTGTTCTGTGAAAAAAAGTTAAATCCACTGTAATACAATGTTATGCTACAATAAAACATATAACCTTCCAAAAAGGTGAATATTTTAATAGGGATTCTGGTTGTATATTTTGTTTTTTGCTTTATGTATATATTAGCTTAAGTTTATATTATATTTTATGATTAATATATTTAAATTTGCCTTTCTGATTTTAGTTATTCACCTTGTGTTCTATTTTGTCCAATGCTGTTTTGGTGCCAACGTTTCATTTGTTCAAGATCCCAGGCTCTTATTTTGCATATACAATATTGCCTTATCTCACTGTTTTTCCCAAGCTTCCCATTCTTTGAACAACCAAAAACTGAATCAGCCATATTAGAAAATGACCATGTGTCTAGGTAGTTTAACCCCAAGAATGTTAGAGATGGGTTAGTTAACTGTTAAATGCCCACTGCTTTGCTTTGACTTTAACATGACTTTGATTATTCTGCATATTATATTAGCACCCCTTTCCTGTGAAACATTTGTTGTCTTTCTGACAGCAAATTGTCTGACCTGCCCTGGTGGCTGCTGAAGAACCAAAGGTTTTAATATCCTGTGGGAAAATAAGCTGGTGTAACTAGTCATCATCACACTGGGGACCTGTGTGATATACTTTTGTAGCATATAATTGCCTAGTATGTTTAAGTGTGTGTGTGTTATGGCCCAAACATTTCATAGAAAACACTCAGAAATCTTACCTGCACCTTTGAATTGTCATTTGTGTTCTGCACACTTAGCCTGTTGCCAGTCCAGTTACCCTTTGTTACCACAGCGGACTGTAAGCCACTGGATTAATTTGCATTTTGTTTAAAGAAATACAAATGTTGACATAGTTTTCAGATTGAGAAAAAAAACATCTGAAATTTTCACACTAGGCTACATTGCCAGAGCATTAACTTAACAACCGCAAAGGACACCGCCTGCAACTCCACCATATTACATTTTGTAGTAATTGCGAGCAAAGTTGATAATTTTATTTATTTATTTTTAAACATTTTATGGTAAATAGTAGGGATGCACCGATACAAGCATCGGTATCGGCAGCAATACCGAGCATTTGCCTGAGTACTCGTACTCGTGCAAATACTCCGATACAAAAAACGAGTACCTGTGCCGCGTCCGCCATCTTCAGGGACCCGAATCCGCCACACACAGGACCTCCCATCGCGTCTTCAATATGCAGATGTCAGGAGTGACTGGTGGGAGATATGTTTCGCAGCGCACCGTTCCTGTAAGAGACACTGACGTTGGACCCTTTCTCCCATCTACCATCAGCGTGACCTGTCTTCACTCCAGCTGCCTGGAGTGAAGACTGAACGTTGATAGAGCAAAATGGTTGTATGCCATTTTGCTCCATCAACTGAACCATCGCCATCTGTTATAAAATTAAAAAAAAGACATTGAATAATGAAATTAATATTTATCATGCCATTGCTAACTAAGGCTTGTATCCCCCTAGTGGGGAAAATAGATTATCACATGTCCAGACTCCAGAACAGTGTATTATTGTATAGTGTGGCACAGCTATATCCAATTCTGCATACCTGGCTTTATATTATAAAGTTCTTATAATATAAAGCCAGGTATGCAGAATTGGATATAGCTGTGCCACACTACAGAGTGTTCATGTTCTTCATAATATTAAGGAACTGACCTAAAATCATGATTTTGTATTGCTTTAGAAAAAATGTGACCTGTCCCTTTAAGAAAAAGTATCGGTAATTGGTATCGGCGAGTACTTGAAAAAAAGTATCGGTACTCGTACTCGGCCTTAAAAAAGTGGTATCGGTGCATCCCTAGTAAATAGCTACCAAAAAGTTGTAAAGTGAACTAAAGACAACTAAACATGGGTAAAACAATGTACATTCTAAAGCCAATGAATTCCAGGCAGACAGCTAAATACACAGATGAAATAAATATATGTGTAGCATGTTCGTAAGATATTCGTAAGATGTTCGTAAGATAAAAGCCGGACGGGCCGGTGTGCGCAAGTGCACACTGCCTGTTCAGCATTGCGGTCATCGGAAGCCCGCCTCTCAGGGGGGCGTGGCTTGCGATCATCTCAAGTACGATCTGCCTGTCCAAGATAGGCAGATCGTACGTTTTTTTTAATAACCTTACAACCATCGCAAGACAATAGTCTTGCGATGGTTGTAAGGCGTGTGCCCAGCCTTACACAGTTCTCTCACACCACAGACAGGGTAGTTAACTTGATCTTTCTCTGCATCAGTTCAGTAACCCTTACAGGTCTACTCCAATCCCTCACCCTGTGACTAGACTGCGACAGTTGAAGCAGCAGATGGATGAGGTCAGCTCTCTCCAGTCTGCTCTCTCCACCTATCAGCATGCTCCTTGCAGTTCTGCAAAACTGATTGTCTTCCTCCCCCAGTCTTAGCTCTACTGTAGAGGAACTGCAAGAAGCCGATGCCAAGTCAAACCTAGTTGCTTGCACTGCTTGTATTTATAAAAATATATATTTAAGGAAGCATTCATAAATACAGAGCTGCATTAATTTGTGTCTTTATATCTGCCTGGAGTTCAGCTTTAACATTTTCATAGATATACCTGTGTAATTTGTAATGTGCACAGTATGTGTATAAGTATTACACCGGTATATTAGCAAAAAGGATAACACTTTTTATTTGCTGCCTTAAGTAAATCAGGAGTGAAGAAAAGTCTTACATTGCCAGATATTTCCAGTATGTTCTGTTAATTGTTTTTGTTTGTTTGTTTTTTAGAACTGGTGATGTTGTTGGAGTGGTGGTCAGGCACTGAGTGCACTATGTATACTGACCTTGAAAACTACCCCAAATATGGCAAAGAAAACGCGATAGTAGTTCTTAATCACAACTTTGAAATTGACTTTCTGTGTGGCTGGAATGTTTGTGAAAGATTTGGTGTTCTAGGGGTGAGTATCTGCTAAATAAGTCTTAGAAACGCACCTGCACAGTTCGAACCTCAACATTAGTGTGTTATTTTGAGTGTCCTTACATATACATATAATCCACATTTTTGGGGGGCAGCTACTTTCCAAGAAGAAAACAAAAATCAAAACCTGAGAAGGAAAAAATAGATATACTTAGGATGTGGCAATAATATTGATAAAAACCATTAATGTGAGTGAAACTTGGGCTTTACTTCAAAGCTTTCACTTTCCCAGAGCCTGCCAATTCTGTCATCAACATTGTTGTGATGGCTTTAATATATTCTGTGGTTCTGTGTGGCTTTAAAAGGCTCATGAAATGCTTTTAGACTGTTCATTAAATAAATGTTTCCACATTTCCAAACATAGCATTTTAATATCAGATATTGTACCCAAAGATTGAAATGTGGAGTGGTGTGGGACAGAGTATTTTATGTGTGCATTTCTTTTATCAAGTTTCAAGTTGTGCTGTTCTTTATATCTATTCCTGCTAAATGGATGCTTAGTTGCATTATCATTCACATTTCAAGTCCTTGGTGAGTGGAAATATTTTAGGCACACTGTGATGCATGCAGCAAGTGCTTGGATTTACATTGTGCATGAACCTTCACCTCTAACATTCACACTTGGCATATGATGATTAAACACTGAGAAATCAGCTTTGTAATCTAAATGATTGCATGCATTCATGCAGAAATTCACAGAAACATATCAGATGGGTACCTAATGTAGATACAATAAACATTAGAGGGCGGACACTTTGAATGTTGCTATTAATCCATTAAAATGTTTGTTATTTTGAAATCCATTGTATGCCTATGTACAAGTGAATATACCCACATTAATTAGAAATAGTATGATTTTTCAGCCATGGTAATACAGGTAAGTTAGATATTATTCTTGAGAATGGGGTTCTTTGAGTGGAGAGGTAATTTAAGTACTACCGGTCTTAGGAAATGTCTTTGTTGCTGCCACTATCTGAGAAGTGCTTTGGACTACTGAACAGTAGTCACAAGAAGGTAGGTGTAACTGCTATAAGGGCCTTAGTAAACAATATGAACAATTAAATATATGTTAAAAACCTTTAGTCTTCTTCAGCAATTTGGGCTGCTATTTTTGAAAAATAATAAAATGCTGTTTTAAAGTGAAATATGATTTTGTTTACTAAAGGCATAAAAGTACCAGTACTTCCAGAAATGAGGAAAGACATGACACTTCACCTGCCTACCATAACCTAACAGTGCTTGGTGCTAGGCAGCAGCCAAGCCAAAGTACTGTCATATGAGGATAAAGTAGGAGTGTGCATAGCCCGTGTTAACAAGTTGAGTTTCTGTAGACTGTGGTACCTGAAAGGGTCAATGGGGGAAGAATTGGATACTCTGTTTACCTAATATGTAATCAATCTGTTACTTTAACTACCTTGCAAAAATAAACTCTGCACTATTGTGTTTTGGCGGGTTACAGTCTCCACCATAAATCCCATCTACATATGTCAATACTTTATCCCTTTGGTATCATAGTATAATTTCAAGGAGTCCAAAGACAGCCTGCATCAAAAAGAATCTAACCACAAATCAGGATACAAATGACCCCCCTAAACAGTGATGTGGCTGTCTATAGGACTTCTAAAAAAAAAAAGGATCTGTAACATGAAACAGTATAAAAAACTCTCTACATTTTATTGAAACACATATAAAAACACTTAGGGGCTTATTCACTAAGCTGCCGAAGGCAGCCGAGTGAATAACCGAGTCGAACGCCATTTGGCTATTCACTTCAGCCGAGTACGGCTGATTTCACCCATATATCAGCTGGCCTCGGTTCACTTCTGTTCCTGCCGAACATGCTCGGCATTTTCAGCTGAGCCCAAGTGAAGGACACAGTCGACTCGCACGGCAAGTCACTCGCTACCGTTCGCCTTTTTTCTCGTAGGGCCAAATTGCAGTGAGTGAATAGCCCAATGCCGCCAAGCAGCATTTGGCTCGGTTATTCTGTCCGCTAGCTCAACGGCAGACTGTTCTTCCCCCTGCGTTCGGCTCAGTTGAGCTGTATGGCTGCTGTACGGGCTATTGGGTGAATAGCCCATACAGCAGCTCTTCAGTTTGGCTGAACCTAAGTGCTCCGGCGGCCAAAGTGAGCCAAAGGATATAGCCGTAGCTTTGTGAATAACACCCTTAGATTCAAATACAAACATATCTACTGTATACCCCAAAACAGTCCCACAATATAATCACCTAAAATCCCCATCCAAAGCCTGGGGAACAAACAGGTAGTGCAGAGTAATGCTTTAGCAAGTAAGTACACGATAATATAACCTGTAGCGTGTGTTAAATACAAAAAATCTTATTAGGTCCTGATGTCTGTAGTCAGCAGATTAGTAAAAATTCCAATATCCTATGTAATGCAATTCAAATTATCTCATAAGTCGTAATAGTCTATCCATATGTATACATTTCAAAAATTGGTGGTCAAGAGTGAATCCATCATGCAGTATCTATCTTCAGTCAGCATGCGTTTACATATTGTGGAGTAAATGTGGCTGGAAATATGTATCTAGAAAGTGCAAGCTTGCAAAGGTATACTGTGTCCTCAATTCTACCCCAGTAGGTTAATACGTCTTGGGGGGCGGAACCCACCATGCTCCCTGTTGTATGCCTAATGGGCAATGAGAAAAACCACCAATGTCTTTCAATACATGAAAGGACAGAGAGTCCACAGTGTGAGCTGCTTTGTTGCTGCTCCAGCCAGCCAACATGAAGAGATACTGTATATATGGTGTAAATATAAGGAACATTCTCACCCAAGTCCAGGGCCATCCTCAAAGAGGAGGCTGTTTGAAGTCCCAATATAATATGCAAGCTCAGCTTGTATTCTAATGCATCCAAGTATTTAACATGATCTCAAATGTGGATGTCAGTTCACTCATGTATACCACAGAGTGCACATCTGCTGAACCAATCTGGCATCTATGTCTCCGCACACAGCAGAGAGCCACTAACAACTTGACATGTTTCTCTCCATCTTTGAGCTTTTTCAAAGGTATGTGGCAGGCCACATACATGATACATGAGTGAATGGACACCCACCTTTCAGATCATGTTAAATTCCTGGATGCGTTGGAGTATTACTAGTACATTACTGTTTGTATAGTAATGCCCTTCCTAAGTGATTTAAGTAAATTATCTTCCATGGTTGGAAGCCAATCACATTTTACAAAAGTTCATGTGTAACTATTACAGAAAGTATGCCTTCATTGTAATGGCATAAAAATGAAATAATATCATCCTTAAAGAGGAAATTTACCCTTTGACACATGTGACTAGGACATGTGATCATGCACATCACCTTCAGGGAAAAAATGCCATTTGCAGATGCAGATTACAGATGAGATTTCCCAGGATGCATCACTTATGTTCAGGCTACATCATTAATGCCCAAGAGGACCAGAACGTGGTAAAAAATGGTAATTGTTAGAGAAAGATATATGTTTAGCTAATGAATGTAAGATGATTTCATATCAGCATGCAGAGCTGAATGCTGATGTGATTTGTAGTGAAAGGGGGTCCGCTTTAATGTTATGATATTGATATGCTTTCATTAGCTTTTTATGTAAAGCATTTTTTTTAGTCTTTGTAGGACATCTGCTATGTTTGTGTACACTTAACAATGAACTTGTCTTATTTTCTCCTTTTTGGTTCTTTTTGAAAGTGTTTTTGTTATATTTGTTTGATAAGGGCAATAAAAATACCAATGTATCCTTCTGGATATCCAGTGTGATTGATTACATTCTGCTTCACTGTTATCAGTTAACATTGTTATTAGCCCTCCCAGTTCAGCTCTGTGCATTACAGAACACCTCCCCTCCCCATTAAAGAGTGAGGAGAGAGGGGGTGTACTCCTTACACACTGCCTGCCCTTGGGGAGAGACTGCTTCTACAAGAATATAGTTTAATTCTCACATTAGGACAGTAAGGGGTGTATGGGCAGAGTAATTTGGCCTGCTAAACTGCATGTATGTTCGTTTTATGCAAATGGAGGGAAAAAAATAACTTTATTAGTGTATTTTTTTTCCTGGTCAAATGTAATATCATTAAAATACCACAATATGGCTACAAGATGTAGCTAAGGATCATAGGAAAAATGCTTATTTCTTATGCTCCTCAGCACCATCTGGTGGCCATAATGTTGTATTTTCCTGATAGAACTGGAAAGTAAATATACTAATGAAGTTTGGTTTGTGCCTCTATTGGCACAGAGCATATATGCAGATTTGCAGGATAAATTGCTCTGCAAATTGTTTATCAATTTACCCCTAAGTGTGTTACTGGCAGGATCACTAATTAAAAATAAAGCCCAAAAAATCCTGATAAAAGTAAACTAATGCAGCCAACACATCTAAAGACTTTTGTTTTTGGGTTCAAATACATTTGAAACATGTCTATTCCTAAGGGAGTTTCTCCTTTTCATGTGAATTTGCACCATATGCTTACATTTATGCATTTCTTTGTTTTAATGACTTCAGTCTAAGCAAGCATTCAATTAAGTGTTTGAATAACTACATTTTTAATGAATACATGCCTTCATTCCCTCCTTTTTTTTCTGGCTGGAGTTAAGTTTTAAAAACCAAAGTGGTTTATGTAACATTTTAATGCATTGCATCAACATTTTATTTAAAGTAATGTTTTCAAGTGGTAACTGTTCTCACTTTTCTGCTGCTGCTACTTAAAGCATATGTATATCCAAAAGTTTAAAATGGACTGACAGCCTGTACATTCTACTAATGCTCTTTTGGGATCCCTTAGAACCCTAAGACTTCAAAAACTCCAAGACGCCCTGCATGGAGACTGGGAAACTCATGATAAAGGTTTTGCAGCCAACTGTTCGTTTTAAGAGGCCTTTATTAAAAAGTGTACCTTTCCCACTCTTCATCTGGCAATGTCACATTATAAAGCATTGATTGTTTCTGTAGAGGATGCATTTCTTTTCTTACCCTTTTTATGTTTTTTTCTGGCAGGCCCTGCATTGTAACCTGCCATTGCTGAGATGTTAGTCTGACAAACATTTACACTGATTCCCTATTTGTCAAGCACTTAGAGTTAATGCATAGTGGATGTTTTTTTCCTGAATGATTCTCCTTTCACTGATCATGTGGAGAACTATTGGTTGAAATGTGGGTTTGCAGAACAGGCATATAAAAAAGTCTTATGTGCATGGGGATCAACATCTCTTCTGAGCTGCACTGGACACCCTAATCAAGGATATCATGTACAGAAAAAGAGGCCCAGGCCTCAAGCTGGAAAGACTCAGAGAAAGGTTAGGTTGGTTTCTGAACCTTCAGAAGTCTGTGTTCAAGCTGACTCATCTGTGAAATATCTGTACCATATCCTAGACACCATTGAAGCAAAAGTTTTTCTTACGCAGGAGAAATTTAAAACTCCGCTCCAAGACTCAGACTCTTATGTCCTTTGAGGCAGTCCCATTTGCCCAGTTCCACTCAAGACACTTACAAGTCAACATCTTTCATCGTGAGACAAATCGGTTCAGTTTCTGGACAAACACATTTGCCTTTACCAAGGACCTGCTCAGTCTCTTGATAAGCAGATTTGCCTTTTCCAAGGTCTAGTTTATCTGTGGCCTGGTGGCTCACAAATCCAGCTCTTTCTTGAAGGATCCTCTCACAACAGATGCCATCCTACCATCCTGAGGAGTAGCCCTAGACACCTTGTTGATCTCCTAATCAACATTTTGGAGCTCCGGGCGATTTGGTTGTGCCTACACCACTCGATATCCTGACTAGTGGGTCATCAGATCAGGATCCAGTCTGAAAACAACACAGCAGTAGTATACATCAACTATCAGGGAGGCACCAGAAGTCTTACTGCACCAAGAGTTAGAAATTAATCTGTCTTAGGCAGAACTTCATGCCCCAGCCTTGTCCGCCATTTACATTCTAGGAATGGACAAGTGGCAGGTGCACTTCCTCAGCCAAAGTGCTTGGTACCAGGGGAATGGGCCCACACCCCAGCGGGTTCCTGCATTTGTGTTTCAGTTGGAGGAGTCCTTATGTGAACCTCCTGGCCTCTAGTTTCAACAACAAACCAGATAGGATTTTCTCCAGGTGCAGAGATCCCCTGGTGGAGGCAGTGGATGCTCTGGTGGCTCCATGGATTGGTACAGCCTAATCTACTCCTTGTCTATTCTGCAGGATTGAGATGGAGGGCATTCCGGGGAACCTCATGTCTCAAGACTGGCCCAGGTAAATGTGGTACTCACACCTGATCAGACTTCTAGCAGATGCTCCATGTGTTCTTCCAGATCATCTAGATCTTCTGTTGCAAAGATGGCTTTACCACCCTGATTCACAGACGCTGGCTATTGAAGCCCAGATCTTGAGGGATAGAGGCCTCTCTGAATGCATGATTGCTGCAATCCTAAAAGCAAAAAAAAACACTTTCTGGAAGGTCCCTCATCGCACCTGGTAGACAAATTTTGCTTGGTGAAACTTTCACCCCAGAAAATATTCTGTGGGGCATATCCTGACCTTTTTTACAATTAGTTCAGGACAGCAATGGGCCCTGAGTACCATCAAGGCTCACATCTTGGCACATGTGATCATTTTCCATAGACTGCTAACCTCCAGTTCTATGATTAAGACTTTTGTACAGGCTCTCTGTCCTGTGGCGCCCTCTATACTTTTACCTGTCTCGCTGTGGGACCTGGATGTGTTTCTCTCTCCAGTTCAAAAACCACCCTTTGAAACCTATTAAGGACATTCCTCTTTCCACTCTTAATCATAATGTTGTTTTCTTTGTTGCTATCACCTGTGGAGCACATGTCTGAACTGGCGGCCTTGTCTTGTAACAAACCTTTTTTTCTTATAGCCTCTTTCCTTCCAAAGGTAGTTTCACCTCAACCAGGACATTGCTCTTCATCCCTCTCTCTGGCTTTAATATACTGTATCTATAGATTTCCTGTCATTGACTGGATGGTCCCCGCAAAGGGAAACCAGCTTTTTGCTTCACTATTTCTCAGCTCAATCAGATTATAGTTCAGTTCTGTGGTGCTAGGGATCTGATTCTACCCTTTTCTGTCAAGGCAAACTCTACTAGTTTCGAGAGTGCTTCTTGGTCTCTTTGGCATCAAGCAACTGTTTTCCAGTGTCAGGATCTGGATTTGAACCCAGGGCCTCTGCTGTATCTGATGGTTCAGTGGTTCTTCCTGCTAAGCCCTGTGGAACTTTGGATAGCTCCTTACCTGATCTCTTGTGCAATCCTCCGTTAAACCTAGTTTTCTGCTGAACTCTGAACTCCTTGCTCCTCCCCTAAATTTCCTATTTAAGCCATGCCTCTGCACTTCCTGTTTACCAGATTATTGTGCCATATGACTTCCTCATACTGCTATTCGTATACTGACCCTTGGCTGCTGATTCACTGACTATGCTTATTGCCTTCCACTTCAAACCTGATACTTTTTGGCTACTTACCTTAGCTTGATCTCTGACTACGCTTCTGTCAGCTCCTATACTACTACCGTCTGCTTGTGTACCAAACCCGGCTTGTTATACCACAAAATTTGCTTGCTGTTTCAGTTACTAGACTCCAAGCCTGACCCCCGATTGTGACACCCAGATTTTCTATCAGGTGGATGTTTAGGCCTCAGCTGATGCCAGGCATAAGGTCCTTCAGGCAGCTCTTTGAGCTGCAGGCAGTTCACAGTTGTTCAAAGTAGGTCTGTTACATTTAGATTGCTGTGTTGGCAACCCTTTAGTTGGACTGCTTTAGGACCTCCTGAATGTGTCTGAATCCTGTGTTCCTCAATGAAAAGAAAATAGGATCTTTGTTTGCCAGTGTCCAAATCCTCCTGTAGGTGGCAATAAAGCACCAAATCTCCTGATTCTCATGTCGCTTCATTCTCACGTTCATTCGAAGAAAATACGTTTATAGTGAGTACCAAAATGTTTTTGTTTTTTTAAATGTGACACACATATAAGATTACTTATCATAAAGCAAACCTTTTATCATTGTAAGGTTAATCAAGTGAAGTCAGGTACTCCCTTAAATTTTCGTTTCCCTAAGCTCTTTGCAGAAATGAAAGATAGAAGCTGATTGATTGCTATGGGCATCTGCACCAGGTGAGATAGAACTTGTCTCAGGCTCTTTATATTCCTTCCTTCCTTATCACTGGAGCGAGCTTGGAGCGATGACTACTTTACAACACACACAAGACCATGGGGAACAAAAGTAGCCACCCTCCAGAAGGAAGGACAGTGTCAGTACTAATTCAGAGATGAGATACAGCTGAGGTATACACAAGTAAGCTACATTTTTGTTAATAGTTAAGGGACTTAAATGCATTTTTAGGATTTAACTCCTGAGTTTAGTGTCACTTTAAATGAGCAATAGACATAACAAAAAGACATAAAGGATGGAATTGGGGCAGGGCTACTTCTGTACTGGGAAATATACTCTGTAGCAGAGCTGTGATCACAAAGAATTACATGAGCTGTGAGAAGATGGCGAGGTCTGATTACAGACAATCATGTTCTTTCTAATTTGTCACTTTATAGTCCATCTAAAACCACATGTCTAAGGGTGACAGTGCTACAGTGATTTCACTGCAGAATGAACAGAAAAGTCACCCTGTTACAGAAAGTGAAAAATCAACAGATCTACTGGCCGAATCAACAGACAATAAAGCTACAGTATGCTATCTTGTCTCTCAAAATCATATGATGAATCAAATGATATGTTAATGCTACTGACATTCAACTGCATATGTAATTTTTAATCTTTGGTTCCACATAAAAATGTATATTTTATACTGAAGTACATCTTGCGAAAATATGAATCTGTCTACTTTTTGATGTAATCTCACATTACACATTGTCAAATGTGCTGAAAGAATCAGGTTATGGAAGCTGTAACTGGACCAGCTTATTTCAATACAACATAAGTCATTGATTTCTTTTGTGTAACAGTAAATAGAAATGTACATTTCTTTTAAATGCTTTTCCTTTTACTGTTTGGTAGAGCTCAAAAGTCCTAGCCAAGAAAGAGTTGGCCTATGTACCAGTATTCGGCTGGATGTGGTACTTCTTAGAGATTGTTTTCTGTAAACGAAAATGGGAAGAAGACCGGAAAACAGTTATGCAAGCCTTAAGGAACCTTAGAGACTACCCTGAACATTTTTGGGTAAGTATGAAAAAGATAGATTCATGTATACACTTTGTGTAATACATAAATGCATGTTTAATAAATATATATAAATGTTAAATAAAAACAGGCTTTTTATTCTAGCACCACAAAACAAAGCCACACGCCTGCTCTACTGAGGTCTTGCATATTGCGAGTCCTGAATAAGTCCCTTATTCCAGGTAGCCCCTTTCTTGGAGACAGGAGTCCAGTAACAGATTCCTATATTCTACAGCAACCAGGATACAGCAGCCTTCAGATTTGCAGTTCAGACTGGCTCTCTCTGTTGATACACACTCATTGAAGCTTGGACCATCTGAAATAAAATCTGTGAACCTGTCAGAGAAAGCCAAAAGATACTCTAAGGGGTTGATTTACTAACCTTATAAACACGCCACGAACAAGTATACACCTCTGTAGTGTGTTCCCTCCCAGCATGATCTATTGGTGGAATCTAGACACCTTTGTAGTGTGTACACACCCAGCAGGTGTGTTGTGCAAAGCCCTGCATGAATTGCAAGGTGATGTTGTGTAAATTAGCTCTACATTGTGTTGCTTGCGTTGATGAATGCAGGAATGTAAATGCATGAGCTAACCAATTTTGTCTAAACTGTGAAGCAGCATTATATATGCATCATGTGCATGATTGTTCCATATATGGCATTAGTGGAAATATGCTTTTAGAGACTTTTTGGTTGATAAATACGTTTTGCTGTGTAAAAATCACACGCACCTAGTGCGTGTGTGTGTTTTATGTTAGTAAATCACCCCCTAAAAGTTTGGGTATTCATCTTGTCCAGTCTCTTAAGGATTCTTAATGAAGCCAACCCCAGTGCATGCTTTGCACTGTTGTTTTTCGAATGCATTGCTTATTTTAGATGTCTTAGATGTGCTCATTAACCATATGTAACTGAAGTATAAACCCACTCATAAGTCAGAAAAAAAAAAAAGAAAACTAATTTAGGTACCACATCTAAAGGCTTGTTCACAACAGCAGCATTGGGCTACATTTGGGCAGGATTGCCCAACGCAAGAACAACAATTTGCCTTGTGCCCAATGAGTACGTTCAGTCCATGACACTGCACTGCTGTGGACTGAAAATAATGGGCTGAAAATCTCGGCTTATACTCGAGTATATACGGTATGTTGCATTTTTTTTGCACTGTGTGTTCCAAGGTGCTGTAATGCATGAGATTTACCTACATGTTGAGGGAAAAAAAGCAAGCACTGCAACATGTTGTTACAACACATGCAGCGCATGAAGTGCACAGTCACACCAGTGTAAACACATACCCTGTGTGGTGTGAAAGAACTGTCAAGCTGCAATATATAACATTTTTGTTCTTGGGTTTGAATACATTTAAATTGTTACAATAGCACAACGTATGCCTGTGTAAAGTGCAGTTCAATTAGTATTGCCTGACTGGAGAATGAAGCAAGCAAACTGATGTCATTGGCCTGTGTCATTCACTACATATTATGTGGCAAACACCTTATAAGCTTTTAGTGCTGCCCCTCCCACTATGTGTTTTTTGTTGGGGAAAAACCCGCAGCTGTGGGTGTACTATCCCTATCCCTTTCTGCCTTCTAGCACAGCCCTGCAATCTGGATTTTGAATATCGCTCACAAATGGCAAGCACTCATTGGTCAGCGCGGTCACCTGATGTGAGTGAGAAGCGCTTCTGATCCCGCTGACCAAAGAAGTGCTTCTTGCTAAGAAGTGTTTCTCATTGGTCAGCGAAGTCAGGTGACAAAACCTATTCAGTAAATCTGTCCATCACATGCACTTTTACCCATATGTCATCTCTTTTAATGATTGTGAACAACCTCTGTTGCATATAACAGGAGGTGTTCTGTAGTTTTTAACACTTTCTGTTCTAGGGTGACAAGGCTGGCTGTCTCCATACATACAGTGCAATGATCACAGCTGGAAATAAAGGGGGGAAAGAAATCGAAGAAAAAGAATGATGCTCATCTAAGTACTGGTTAGCTGCAATATAAAACACTTTTTTTTCTTGGGTTTAGATGCACTTTAATGTTCGCACCTACTCTCTTTATCACACTCCCTTGCCGTCCCCACATACATACTGTGAGTAATGGATCATAATGCATTACAGCTGCAGCACCCACTGGAAACAGAATTACAAGAAGATAGGAGACCCAAAACTAATATAAAGCTGTAGGGGGGAACACTGGGCACCCAAAAGAGAGTGAGTCCCCCCCCCCAATAAGTATCCAATAAGTATTCTTAAATGCTGAATTTGACTGAATACTAGAAGTTCATAAATTATTTTTGCAAATCTTGTGCAAACTAAACAGTGCTAATTCTATAATTTCATTTTAGTTTCTAATTCACTGTGAGGGCACACGTTTCACAGAGAAGAAACATGAAATCAGCATGCAAGTTGCAGAAGCCAAAGGCCTTCCCAAGTTGAAATATCACCTCCTACCCAGGACAAAGGGATTTGCTGTCACTGTGCAAAGTTTGAGAAATGTAGGTAAGGAAAGCAATTTAGAGATTATTTGTATTAGTACAAATAATGCTGCCTATTTTATTATTGGTGGATTAAAGAAGAATTTCAGGCAAACATTTTCTTAACCCTTGCAGTTGGGTTACCCTTGCACTGCAAGGCTTAAGTGCTCTTTTTGGTCTAGGTGCAAAAATAACCGTTATACTCGCCCCATCCTCATGGCCAGCTGGCTCTTAGACTAGTCCTTACAGCCTCTCTCCCCCTTCACTCCAGCAGTCTAAGATCCCATGAGTCATCACATCCTATACATGTATAGGACATGAAGACAACGAGGGACATACCATCGCTGCAGCAGAGGTTTTTCTTTAATAAAGCGGAGCTCTTTGATAAATAATGATGATGCAGTACCCACATCAACTAAGCAGAACCCATTGTGCTAATCTGACATCAGTAAAATAAACTCTAATTGGTTGCTACGGGTTACTGCATGTTTCCCTTAGTATGCTGCCTTTGTGCTGTTTATTGAATAGGTCTGAAAATTGCTCAGTGCTGATTTTATTTTGTCCCAAAAGATACTGTATGAGATACTGTTTACGCCCTTTCCCTGTTTACTGTGAATTTTACATTCTGAATATTTTTAAATAGTCAACCAAAATGTAATAGTCTGTAAATGGTACAGACAAGAACAAAACTTTTTTTTCCCCTATTTTTCTCACGTATTGTTTCAAATCAAATACAAACCGTATAAATACATATAAAATATATATGTAAAAGTTTCAGGCAAGTGTCAAAAAATGCTGTAAAGAATGCTTTCAAAAATAAACATAAAAATTAACACTTTTATCAATTAACAAAATAGAAAATGAATGCACAGAGGAGAAATCTAAATCAAATCAATATTTGGTGTGACCACCCTTTGCCTTCAAAACAGCATAAATTCTTCTAGGTACACTTGCACACAGTTTTTGAAGTAACTCGGCAAGTAGGTTGTTCCAAACATGATGGAGAACTAACCACAGATCTTCTGTGTATGTAGGCTGTCTCTAATCCTTCCATCTCATCATGTAACCCCAGAAAGACTCGATGTTGAGATCAGTGCACTGTGGGGGCCAAACTATCACTTTCAGGACTCCTTGTTCTTCTTTATGCTAAAGATAGTTCTTAGTGACATTAGCTGTATGTTTGGGGCCGTTGTTCTGCTGCAGAAAAATTTGGGGCCAATCACATGCCTCCCTGATGGTATGGCATGATGGATATGTATCTGCTTGTATTTCTCAGCATTGTAACACCATTGATCCTGACCGAATCTCCAACTCCATTTGCAGAAATGCAGCGCCAGACTTGCAAGGAACCTTTCACCAATCATCAATCCACCTTTCTTCACTGTTGGCTGCATACAATCATTATTATACTGCTCACCAGCCCTTCGGCAAACAAACTACCTCATGCTACAGCCAAATATTTAAAATTTTGGCTCATCAGTCCAGAGCACCTGCTGCCATTTTTCTGCACCCCAGTTCCAATGTTTTCATGCATAGTTGATTCGCTTAGCCTTGTTTCCACATCGGAAGTATGGCTTTTTGGCTGCAATTCTTCCATGAAGGTCACTTCTGGCCAGACCACAAACAGTAGATGGGTGTACCTGGGTCCCACTGGTTTCCGCCAGTTCGGTGCTGATGGCACTGCTGGACATCTTCTTTATTTTTCATGTCAAAAGTGTTTTTATTGTTTTCATCAAAACGTAAACAAAAAGAAAAAAAAAATATCACAACATTACACAATGCTGGACATCTTCTGATGTCGATGGGAAGTAAGCATGATGTGTCTTTCATCCGCTGCATTAAGTTTCCTTGGCTGACCACTGCATCTACAGTCCTCAACGTTGCCCGTTTCTTTGTGCTTCTTCGAAAGAGATAGAACAGCACATCTTGAAACCCCAGTCTGCTTTGAAATCTTTGCCTGGGAGGAACCTTGCTGATGCAGTATAGCTACCTTGTGTCTTGTTGCTGTGCTCAGTCTTGCCATGGTGTAAGAAATTAAACTGTCTTCCACAACCTCACCTTAGTAGCAGAGTTTGGCTGTTCCTCACCGAGTTTTAAGCCTTCTACACTTCTGTTTCAGTTAATGACTTTCCACCTACTTGGTATAATTGATTAATCATACACCTGACTCTAATCCTACAAAATCCCTGACTTTGTGCAAGTGTAAAGGTGCCCATACACCTTACGACCATCGCAAGACTTTTGTCTTGCAATGGTCGTATGCTTCTTGAAAGCCCTACGATCTGCCCACCTTGGACGGGCAGATCGTACTTGCGATCATCGAAAGCCCGCCCCGCTGAGGGGCGAGCTTCCGATGACGGCAATGCAAAACGGGCAGTGTGCGCGTGCGCACACCGGCCCGTTCCGCAGCTATCGGGCGAGAAACCCGCCGAGAATTGTACGATTCGAGCATGTTGGCTCGACAAAAGACGTGAGACCGTACAGTAGAGACGGTCGCACGTCTTAGTTCACACTGCTCGATTCTCGTATGATCGCGGGATTTCGCCCGATTCTCGTACGAGAATCGAGCAGTGTATGGGCACCTTTTAGAATTGATGCTGGTTTGAAACCAAATTGGTGGTCACACTAAATATAGATTTTTATTCTGTTCACTCACTTTGCATTTTGAAAAATTGATAAAATAAATAATAAAAAACTTTTGCACAGTACTGTGTGTGTGTTAATTTTTTTTAAAATTATTATTATTTATATAGAGATGAACTCAGAAACAAGCATGATTTGTGTTGCAGAGTTTGAAAAGCCTATATTTCACAATAGCTGTACTTGTACAATTCCAAGTGCAGTGTATAAGGGGGGGGGCAGCGGAGACCCGTGCACCGAGCTATATGGGTTGGACTTGATGGACGTATGTCTTTATTCAACCCCAAATACTATGTAACTATGTATAGTATACTACCCAGTTACATAACATGAATATAGTTTATGACCAATTTGCAGGTTGAAATTTGTGTTTTTTAGTGTTTTTAATAAACTGTTTATTTGGAAATGTGTTTAGCAGTGCTAATGTGCTTCCAAAAAGCAGTACGACCAGCTGCTGAGATCACATGTTTTGGATAATTAACACTCAGATGGATTGGCCTCTAATCTAATACATTGAATTAGCAGTTGAATTTAATAATTTAAATGATGAAAATAATAGACTAAAGGAATAGTTGACGATGGAATCCTGAACTATACTATTAGAAGATGAGATGAAGCCTGCTGGGATTATCCCAGGCTGACTGCTATCTGGCACAAAGTAGGCTCATAGGCTAATCAAGTGCTGAACTAGGATGTGAGAAAGTTGTGGATGAATGCCCAAAATAACTGATGTATCCATGGACATGATGATGACTAAAGCGGGCCATACATGGTGTGGCAATTACCCAGTGGGTCCCCCTGACAGCACTCTTCAATCAGAAAATCAAAAGGGCCGAATTGGAAAATCTTGGGGCGAACATTCACGGCAGCCAATCGGCTGCCATCACTGGATACAGCAGGAGATCCGTCCATCCACAATGTTTAGTGTGGATGGAGGAATCTGTTTATATGTTTTTCATTCAGCCTGCAGGTTGCACACAAAAAAAAAAGTGTATGGCTAGCTGTACTGTCTACGAGTAACTTGCCACTCTGTCACCAAATAGTTTATAGTAATAATGGTGAATTGGCCAAGCTGGAACTTCACATCAAGCATTCAGAGTTGTCTCTGGCTGCAATGAGCAAGCTCACATAGACTCACATACTCTTACTCCGTACTCCTGTATTACTTGCCCCTCCCTATTAGATTGTAAGCCCTCCTTACCATCTGGTCTTGAATTGTATTGTAATTGTCATGTCCTTATATTGTAAATCGCTGCACAAACTTGGCGTTATATAAATCCTGTATATTAATAATAATAGTGCTTTCTAGCGCAGTTTGAGTCTTCTGGAGCTAAAATTAGTTAAAATCAGAAAACTGCCAGCATTAGGCTTGTTTAGTCTGCTGGTCAGAAACGATGAGCAAACTGGCTTGGTTCACGAACCGAACCCATGGCCGCCTGTGTTCTAGCAACCAGTGTGACCCACACAATGACATTGGTCATTTGGATGCTAGCTGCTGGGCCGCACGGCATCATTTGGTTGCTGGGATGCAGGTGGGTACACAATAAATAGCACCATAACAAGCAATGACACTATGGGGCTACCAGCGTCTTGGCAATCACGGACACTGTGCGACCCACAAAGTCATTGGTTGCTAAGATGCTGGTGACCCTATAGCACCATAGTTTGTTATAGTGCACCCATCTACATCCTAGCAACCAATGACGGTGTGCGCCTCAGCCACCAGTCAACCAATGATGCTGTGCAGATCGCAAATCTTCATGGGTTGCTAGGACGAACGGAAGTTTGGTTGACAACTTGGCCAAATCTTTTACAGACTTGTTAACAGCTTGGGTTAAGGTGAATGTTTGTGTAAAATTAGTGCCAGGGCACAGCTAGGTATTGTTTTGAAGGGTTTTTTGTGTGTGTTTATTTGTGCTATTTAAAAAGATTTACAACAGTGCTCCAAATCAACTAAACAAACACACCATGTTTGAAAAAGCCACTGAATGGGACTCTGTGCCCTAAAAGGCTGTTAACCCCAGGGAGTAAAGCGCCAGCTAACTGTTCCCTATTCACATAATAATAATTGTATTATTTTCACATTCCTGCACAGAGCTTAGATATTTTGAATTTACATTTAGATTGATTTGTAAGTGGTTATTAGACATTAATTATTTTAGATGTATCCCATTCTCAATTATATATTCACCAATCAGCCATAACATTATGACCACCCACCTAATATTGGGCAGGTCCCCCTTTTGCCGACAAAACAGCCCTGAACCATTGAGGCATGGACTCAACTAGACCTCTGAAGGTGGTATCTGGCACCAATCCATCAGTAGCAAATCCTTTAAGTCTTGTAAGTTGCAAGGTGAGGCCTCCATGGATCCAACACATACC